CTCTTGCAGAAGGGTTTCCCTCAGACTTTATTAGTTGGATCAAAGGTTGCATATTTGTTGTTCATTTCTCAATTTGTTTAAATGGCTCTCTTGAAGGCTACTTTAAATCCAACTCGGGACTCCGATCAGGGTTGCCCTTTATCTCCTCTACTTTTTTGCATCGTTATGGATGGTTTATCTAACATCCTTACAAGATCTTCTGACCCCTGTCATTTTAAAGGAATTAATTGCAAAGACACCTACATCAATCATTTGATGTATGTTGATGATCTTTTGGTTGTGGGTGACTCATCTAGAGAGAATGCAGCTAATCTTGACAGATGTTTACAACATTTTGGCTCTATATCTGAACTTCATATCAATGCCAATAAAAGTGAAATAATCTTCTCCAACAACTTTCTAGAAAATCAATTAATCTGTGATGAGCTTGGAAATCATAACATCAATACCTATCTAACCTATTTAGGTATTCTGATATCTCCAAAAAGGCTTAAATCCTCTCACTTCCAACCTCTCATGAGCAAAATTCATGCTCTACTTGCTGGTTGGAAAAACAAGATTCTTTCTTTTGCAAGTAGGGTTCAATTCATAAAATTTACTATCATCAAAATCTTAGCCTACTGGATTAGGGGATCCATCATACCAAAGGGTGTGCTACTATCAATAAATTATGCTCTAGATTTTAATTCCATAACAATATGGTGGAAAGGAAGTTGCATCTTATATCGTGGTCTAAAGTCACTCTTCCCAAAGCTGTTGGTGGACTTGGCATTCCTTTCTTTCAAGCCCTATATTTTGGAGTTTTATGTTCCATCATTGGTAGATTCTACAACAATCAAAATCTTTTGAGCCTCTGGTATAAGGCTAAGTATACATCTCCCTGGAAACCTCCCCCTATCTCTGCCTCCAAATTTTGGCATAGAATTACTGATGCAGCACACAGAAACTTAAATGGTTTCTAATACATGGGCTTCACGCCTCGAGTTTTCCCCAAAAAAAAAAAACAAATAATTTTTTTTTTCTTTTTGGGGTGTAACTCTACATAATTATTGAATTTTAATTAAGGAAATATATCTAAGATAAAATGGTTGAAAAAAATAAAAAGATATGTCATATGTGGCTGCAGCCTGCAGGGAAGCCATTGTTGGCGGGCGGGAAACCCGAAATAATTCCTGCCCGAAGAAAGAAAACGGGCACCTCGGGCAGCAGTCCCACCACCAGCCCCTGCATTCTGAGAAAACCGTTGAATCGTCGCTGTTCAGTCGCTTTCTGTCCATGGCATAAGAGAGAGAATCTACAGCTTAACCATGCCAAAAAGAAGCTCAGAACCTCAAATTTATTGCTGCTACACTTTTTACTGCTATGTCACCTTCCACGCCCCATACTTTCGTCACAGAACCATATAAAAACCATTACTATATATAAACTTTTCCAAGCAGCCAGTGCTTAATTAGCAGCTGCTCCAAACAGCTGGCCACGTTTTCGAAATCCGGATCCCATCCGACCTTCACAAGAAACTATCAAAATTTGATTTTTTTTTCTAAAATTTATCTCCTTGATGAGATTTGCATAAGAATTCATATAGCTCTGCATGAAAATTTGTTTTTGGTCGTTAATTTGCTAATAACAGTAGCAGATTCCATTCATGCCTCCATTTAAGAATACATAAGCAGCTTACATATTATATTGCTTACGAACTGAACAGGTAATGCTTCTTTATAAAGCCTAAGCAGCTCTCGGCTTTGGGTACGGCTGCTGGGTACAATAATTGCAATAAAGAATATAATAAAATGAGGAAATATGCTCAGATCTTTGCTTTATAGGTACTATCGAGAAAATAGGAGGTAGAGAGAGAAACAGATATCGAGTAATCGAGATAGAGATGGAGAGAGAGATAGGGTGGGGTTGACGCTGTAATCGTCGACTTTTAAAAGAGGTAAGAGAGAGAGAGAGCAGAAGGGGATGGCTGACACAGGTTAAGAACCATGGGCTTTACCTATATAGATGGAAGCCTTTTCTGCGGGAGCCGTTCAGATACTGACACGGCTGAATCGAAAGCAATTAAGTAAAAGCAGAAGAGTCTCATGTGCCATCAATGGAGCATTTGATATACGTATATATGCGATGATTTTAATCCTGTCAAAAGTAGCTGGAGATGTAATTATGCCAGCTAAATTAATCACTATATATGAGAGATAATAATTCATTTCATGATTATTTCTTAAATTTTGTCGTGCTAATTCTGAAATATTTAATATAATTTTTATTTGAAACCGACAGATAACCACAGTGTTAAATGATAAGAAGCCTTTTTTTTTTTCATCTGTAATTTAATTATTAGAGAATTCACCCATTATGAATGATTTAGAGAATATTTTTTAACTTGTGTGGGTGTAAATAGTATTTCTTATCATACTGATTTACTGTTTTTTTAATAATAAAATCATGAAAAAATCAGTTGGTTTCATCATAGATTTGATGGATTGGATTCAGATCTCATATAATAATTTGAGCTTTTATCTTAGATTTAAATATTTGACCGTTATGGTTTAAATTTAATATTGGTTAAATCATGTGTGGGATTTACTATTTAGCCTATTTTTAATTATTAGAATATTTGTGATGTATTTCTATTTAGGAAAATTGGCATTGTAGTTCAGGGCCCAACAGCATAATGGGCCGTAGCCGAGAAAGCTTTGTAGGATAAGCAGATGATCTGATGAAAAAATATTGGGTTAGGGTATTATAATATGATTTTATCAGGTTTGCTATTATATTTATTTTTTCATTAATATTATAAATATATATATGTTTTATATTATACTAATTTGATATAAAAATATATATTAGAATACTGTTGAAATATTATAATTTCAATATTTAAAGGTATTCTAGGATATGAGTGATATATAATTAAGTTGAGTAAGCTAGTTTAATTTTAAATTAAATATTCTTATTTTGATTGATGCTAACTTTGAATTAATATTTTTTTTTAATTTAAATTGAGTTTCAAATTGATTGATTAAGCGCATTAACATATTAAAATAAATTTTTAATCCTAGTCAAAACACTTTTTAAGGAAAAAAAACTTAAATTTCATATATCCAAATTCCACTTTTAGTAAATTTAAATTTAAAATATCCACATAGACCAGATGAATTTGATAAGCCCAATATCAAACAATTTTGATTTCATTAAAATACTCAAATGCTAAAAAAAAAATTAATGTTATGGGATTATATTCTAGACTGTTTAATGGAGTGCCAAAGATTTTGACATAAATAATTAAAATCTTCAAATCAAAAATCCATAAATAGGTCTTTATTCTACACTTGAAATGAGACTTGAATGTGAATAAATTTTTATAACTTAAAGAATCCTAAAGTAATATCCATTATAAAGCACATACGATCAAAATTGACCTCTCACTATTGACCAACATCAATGACCATCGGCTTTTGTCAACTAACATTATCAACCATCAACCGACAATCTCAATAGTCTCCTAATAGCCTTCACTATCCATCATCACCCAATATGGATGTCAATCACTCATTATTCTTCCTCTAATATTTCTGACTACTCTCAAAGGAGATAAAAAAGACAACATAGAATTCTCAATCCTATCTCCTCATATTGAACTAAAAACTTTTGTAGTAGAAAACTATTTTAAAAAACAATAAGAAAGCTGCCCCAAACAAAACCTAATTACAGAATAAAAAATATCAATCCCGACAGTAAAACTCAAATAAAAAAAAAAAAAAAAAAAAAACTAACATTAGGAGCTTGTAGTTGAAGATCAATGTCCTCTTCGACACAATCATTCTAGATCTCTACCCAAAAGTAACAAAAACTCCCAAGTTATTTTCACTTACTTGGCCTTTGACATTGCTTATTCAATTGACATTAGGAATCTTTTATCTGATAAAACAAAGGTATTTTTGGTTTCAGTTAATCACATAGTTTGCCTATAATCACATAGTTTGCCTATAAACAAAAAATACTAAAAACTTTTTAATAGAAAAATTAAATTTTTGTACTAAAAACCTGTTTTAAGAAGCATTAAGAATACCGTCCCAAACAAAGCCTAAAACTTTCCTTTGAGAAAGTTGCTTGACAAGGGAATAATTACCCCATTAGTTTCTTAAAGTAACATTAAGTTTAGCTTAAGTGAGAAATCCAGCAGGTTCTGTTTGCCAAAATGAAGAATTCAATCAATGCATTATACTTAATTGCAGGAGATATTTCTTGGCCTAATATTTTTTTCCAATTTTCCTTGCAGAAACATAGACAAACCAAGCTTTTATGTGTTCAAAGAACCATTTTGACCTGCTTCTGCCTGCTATAGAACATTTAGGAGGAACCGAAATCCTTTCATGTAGTTCAAATTGTGGGATATGTTTTTTAATGCTTTTAAAAGCATTTTTTAGTATTAAATTTTCTGGTTAAAAAAAATATGATAATAATGATTAATTAGTATGAATATAATGATATGATGAATAAAAAAGAAAAATAATAAATACTAAAATTAAAATCACAAGAAATAAGTTCATACAAAGCAATTGAACAGAACTGGAACTCATTAATGCAAAACAGTGAAAGTACCAATATTTAGGCCTAGGTGTTTATTGCACCTTGCAAATAATGCTCAGCATCAGCAAAGACAACAGTGTAAATCTGTCCAGATGATCTCACTACATGGCACAGGCTCAACCAACCAATATGAGTCATGAAATTAATTTGCTCATGACAATGGTTTTGACCCTCACAACATAGATACAAAAGTCTAAATAAAAATATAAAAAAAAATTACTCACGCAGTTGCACAGAGTTAAGTTTTGTTTGGAACGGTTTTCTTTCTGCTTCTTAAAGAAGTTTTCTAGTAAAACAAAAATTAATTCTCTACTAAAAAGTTGTTTTAAGAAGCAGAAAGAAAACCGTCCCAAACGAAGCCTAAATTTACACGAGAACTTTTACCTTTTCTATGATCTATCCCAAGCTTCAAGAAATTTACTTCATGCATCATTGAAAATAGTGTAACAACATATTTAATCCACAGGTTTTGGGAGCCTCAGATCTATTCCAAGCCTAGCTTAAGAACTTAATGAAGACCTAAGAGTTAAAAACTAAAAATTAGAAGGTACATCAGAAGGTTTTATGAATAAATTTGCTATGCTCCAGGGTATCGTTCAATCAATTATCCAAATTTAGCACAAAAATATTTCAGAACCAAATGTTCATGTTTTCAATTCTAGTTTGTTTCTAGTGTTAGTCGGATTCTTTTGATTCTGTAAGCTGGGGATGGGTAGCTCCAGCTAGCCCAGGACAACAAGAGTGAGAGCTGCAGTTGTGATACCCTGGAGAAGAAAATATAATCGATAAATGTCAAGAATTAAATGCCGATATACAGTAATGCAACATGAACAATGGCACAAAATAGTATCATAGAAATAAATGCAAGGATTATGCAGTCCCACAAAGAAGAGAATCACTCAATCCATAAGAAGACATCAGCCCATTGACAAGTAGCAAATATCGGAACAGGCATTATACTATAATATCATAATTCATTAGATATTGTAAATGTCAAATACTATATGCAAAAGGTCTAGCAGATATTGTCACAGGATGGGAAGTACAGGACATTGAAAGAATGGTTTTGAAATTTATAAAGGACAAAAGAATCCTACAAATCATGTATAATATCTTCCAAAAGCAAACAAAAGCAGTATAGCGCAAACAAAAGGAAATCGACATAAAAATAAAGAAAAAGAGGAGAACATGCTATAGCCACCACATTGAATTGCTTCTGTATGGTTGTCAGCAGATGTCATCACCATATTACCACTGAATAGCACCATTGATCGATTTTTTGCATGTGATGCCAGTAAAAATACTACCTGGGCCAGGAAAATAAAGGAATAGGTCATGCAGATTTAGGTTTCATTTGAGACAACTTTCTTCCTGCTTCTTAAAGTCATTTTTTAATATAAAATTTAAAATTTTTGCATTAAAAAGCTACTTTAAGAAGCAATAAGAAAGTCGTATCAAACGAAGCCTTAATTTGCAAAAGGAGGGGTTCTTTTATAGAAATCCTTATAATTTGATTTTTTAAGGACAATAATTTCAAAACTTTGCAAAAAAAGACAATAATTTGCCCTATTTTACAAATCAGAAGAACCAATCCTCACAGGCATGCCAAGTTATCTAAACTATGGCATATACGCATAGGTTTCTTGAAACCCTGGAATTCCCATATTACCATTAAAGTTATACCTAAGTTGCATATCAAAATTTCATAACAAACTCTAGAAGGAATGCTAGGGTTTCAGGAAACCCAACATTAAGATAAGTTTTTAAGAAACCCCAACATGTACGCTATGTTTGGTTGTCAGTATTTGCAAAAGGAGCAAACTACTACCCTTGTAAGGCAATTTTCAAAACTATAGTCCTCCACAAAAAGGACGAAAGAGTTGGGAGTTTTATACAAATATCCCTATAGAGGATTGAAAAGATGAAATATGGATTAAACTAAATATGGATTACTAAGAAAAATGATTGTATTAAAAAGCTCCAAGTCCAAACAAGGAGACAGCTAATCAATGATCAAAATCCTAAGATTTAGTTTTAAGGTTTAGCATGCAAGATGAAAAGTAATATACTACAATGAATATGTGCTGAACAATAGGTTCAAATAAGCGTACATCACTTATGGGAAGATGTTGAACCTTAGTAAAGTCATATTTTAGATTAACATATGTGTGCACTCCTATTTTTCACACCACACATAATTTTATATGTATTCTTAACTGACTTTGATTTATGCTAGCATAAATATTTTCACCTTCTGCCCAACAAAATTAAGTCTACCAACACTTCATTTCATATATCAATTTTGAAATGCTACAGGTTCATTTCCATGAATTATCTTTCTTCATTGTTATAAATTAATTGCTTTAGATGCGGAGTGATAAACTGATAGGAAATACTCCCAAGAGAAAGTGACTTTCCTTGTCCAAATTTGAATTTTAGTAAGGTTCAAACCAGAAATTAAAAAGAATTTGGTTGAAATACTAACGAAAAAAATAACAAGATACAATGGATCCTCAATTGGAGAGGAGGATCTGGCTCTCACAAATCTCTAGATGCCGCTAGAACTCAAAAAAATCCAAAGAACTCTTCAACTTTTAGAAAAACACCAGATAACCCTAACCCTAGGGACAATAATCTACTTAAAGCAAAACAACAAACTTCAAAATCCCTAAACAGTCCTTTACTTCAAATTTTTCCTCCTAAACCACCTCTTAATTTTTTGCATTAAAGTGTGGGACCTACCCCCAAAGGGGACGAACACTTGTGGAGCTAGGTGAAAGGAGTCCGCTTCCTATAGACCTGGACCATTCCAGGTCCAACCGATCTATCATAAACCTCTTCAAGTGTAGAGGTTTTAAATGATATTTATTAACTCTAGCAACAGTGGAAATATCAGCAAAGGTAGAGTCTAAATCCCAGTGAATGCTAACTCAATTTTTTATTTTATTTTTTTTATAAGTGATGAGATGCGCATCTTAAGTGAATGCTAACTCAATGTTTGCACATTTGATTCAATATTAGGGAATGTGGAGCATCAAGAAGACAATTTGAGAATATGTCAAAGATGAAGAAACTCATATAGACACATCTTTGATGACGATGAAAAATACGAAAGGGGAGAGAATTTTTAGAGACCATCTAATATTTGGTGTTACAAAGAGAGAATTGAGTAGCATAATGGGAGCAAAACATATGAAAATGATGAACAACCAGTTGACAAAAGGGCCTGGCCACATATAAGCGACAAGCATGAGACAATTACTGAGAGTTAAGAGGATTGATTAGATAACGATTCATAATAAGGAATTCATGGGATTTTATGGAGTGCTAAAATTTCTAATACGATTTATTTGAAGGGATGGGGAAAGAGATCTTATAGATTTGAAGACCAATTCAACTTGTCTAAACTCATTAAAAGGCCCATAAAAGCTTTTGTAGTTATATATATATATATATAAGGGATGATTAAAAAGATGTAAACTTAAGGGATCAATGTTGTTGAATAAAAAACAACAATATACAGAAGTATCAGCATAGCCTAAGAGATGGTGGGAGATGTAAATATCGTCATTATCAATAACGTTGGGTGGGACGCTTGAATTTTTTTAGTTTAGTTTTCTTTTTTTAAACCATCCAACATCACTTTGATACTTAACACAACTTTTTTTAGTACTTCTTAACATGATAGGGACATTTTGAACAGCATTTACATCTTTGCTTATCTTTTTAGCTGATATCCGCTATGCATTAATAACAGGTTTTACACTCAAAAATCATGATTTTCCTGTTGTGGATTGAGGATTGTATGATTTCCTATAATTTCAGATACAATCTAATGAGATGTGTTAAAATCAAACAACAAATACATAAAATTTAAAGATTGCAAACTTATACTCTATTAACAATTATTCATTATCTTTAGTGAAAATTTGTAGCCATAAAAGTTCACAAATTCTTAATGACATGGATCAAAATTCAGCTTCTCTACTATTTTGCTTTTTTACTTCTTCAAGTCACGAGATTGCCTAATAAGAATACTCAATATCATTAAGTTGACCTCCTACCAATCATAAATCCTGCATAATTTGCATCTGTACAGGTTTCCCCTTTTGAATAAAGTTCTTTTGCCTGAAGTTCCTTTCAACAATAAGCCTTTATCCCACTACATGGGGTCGGCTACATGAATCATTTTTCTTCATTATGTCCTGTTAAGGGTCAAATTCTCATTTAAATTGTGGGCTCCAAAAAATTCGCGACCTCCCCTCACAGCCAAAGTCTTAAGGCCAACTTAATTAACTCCAAAGCTCACATCCCTCTAACCTTCCTACCCTCCAAGGCCCAACGACCCACCCTCATAAACCCAAACCTATAGCAGCCCCTTTGTTTTTTTAATTATTATTTATTATATATGATTTCTATTATTATTATTATTTTATTATTATTATTATTATTTAAGAGAAAAAGAAGAAGAAAAATATAAAAAGAAAAAAAAAAGAAAAAAGAAAAAAAGAAGAATCCTCGTGTGCACATTTTTGGACGCCACCTAGTCGCCGTTGCCACCTCGCCGAAGGTACAAATGCTTTCTCAAACTCAAAATCCTCTAAAATCATGTTCTTGGTGCTCGCGACACACTAGAAAATAACCTAAATATGCTTTTCTCTATGGTGGTGGGAGGGAACCCAATGCGATGCTTGCGGTGAGGCAAGTATATATTGTACGTGCTTTTCTCTAACATGGTGGGGACAACTTTAAGTATCCGTGTATGTGTCATCATGCCTACGAGAAAAGAACCATGTATCTCAAACAGGTACCCCCGAAGACCCATAGACGCATTTCTCTGGCATGGTGGGATTGAAGATCACGACCGCGGTGTCGTCTGACACCTACCATACACGTTTTTCTCTAGCATGGTTGGAAGACCCAGCTCCCAAATGTTGACCTCATTATTTGAAGTCAATTTACTCGGAATCCATCTTTAACTCCTAAGTCTTCGTAACATAGCATAAACGTCGCCTATAGGATTTCCCTTAGGTGGATACCCATTGACGTAACATTGACTCATCCTTCTAATTTGAACTAATTCGACTCATCTTAAATCAATCAAATTCATATCGTTATCAATTGAAATTCTTCGATATAAATCTACGCAATATCAAGTTTAATCAGCTTGATTCGAGTTTGATTTAATGTAGATGGCTCTAATAAGCGCAAATTGACTCATCGCAAGCCAATCAAACTAAAATAACATTGGTCAAATTAAATAAATGCATTTAAATTAATCCAATTTAAAATGTCAATTAACTTTCTAATTCCATTAAAATAAGTTCTTTATATACATTTTGAAGCTAATTAACTAAAAATTTGGCATTTGAATTTAAATTAAAACAATTTTATTTTTCGTCAATTGAATTAAAATTTAAGTTAAAAAAGAGGTGGTTTTGGGTTCGGTTGGGTAAATCTAACCGCCCCTTCCACGTTCACCTCTCCCCCTTTTCATTCGCAAAACCAAACCCCCCACCTTGTCTCCTCCCAGTTCGTGAAACCTCCTCTCCCATCCCTTCTCTCTCGTGTGAGAAGCTCCAAGAGAAATCCCCCTCTCCCATGGCCTCTCTGTTTGGCATGACCCCCTGCCCTAACCAACAGAAACCTGTCCCCCTTTATAGGCTCTCTCGCATGAGGACAAGGTCGGAGCCCTCCTTGCTTCCATCCCTCACTGATTCGAACCAAGCAAAAACCCTAGCTGGACTCCTAAATATTGTTTTCT